TGGGTTTGCATGCGTTCCGCTGCCTTTTTGGCGGCTTGCCCCCTGGTGTTCCCTCAGATTTTGGACGCGCGGAACCGAATCGGAAAGTGGTCACGTTCCTAACGCGTCGTTTGCACGCTGCGTTTCTGCGTGCGATGTTGGACCGGCGGGGGAGGAGGGGGATGGCGTTCTTTGGTAGTTTGGCAGAGGGGGCGGGGGTCGAATCGCAACAGCAAGTCGTGGCAGAACGCCGCTAGAGCGGGACTCGGCCGTTCCGTCGGACTTCGTAGACTTACTTGAGAAAACAGCGGCTTCGTTCCTTATTTACAGTCGACCCGCATAGTAAGGAGGCATCCCTCCCAAGGGTACCCTTGCATCCTTGCCTCCTGGGTCCATCCTTGGACACTTTCGTTGGCCGCGCCCCGCTCGAAACGTTTCGAAATGGGCGTCCAAGGCCCTTGCATCCTTATCGCGCATCGTTATGATACGGGTTGGCTGTAGGGAGAACTGATGGGGACGATGCTGATGATCGGCGTTGGGGCAGGGAGCAGGGACGAGAGAGCAGGAGTGAGGGAGGAAACGCTGCCGATCCAGGATGAGGTGAGGGAGGAGGAGGAGGAGGAGGAGGAGGAGGAGGAGGAGGAGGAGCAGGAGGAGAGCAGGAGGAGGAGGGCAGGAGGAGGGAAGGAGGAGCAGGAGGAGGAGAAGGAGGAGGAGGAGCAGGAGCAGGGGAGGCGGGGAGGATGGGGAGAGGAGGAGGATGAGGAGGAGGGAGGAGGAGGAGCAGGAGGTTAAGAGGAGGAGGAGGAGGAGGAGGAGGAGGAGCAGGAGGTAAAGGAGGAGGAGGAGGAGGAGGAGGAGCAGGAGGAGGAGGACTGTACCGTTCCTCAGGTCAGGCCGATGCTTGCACGCACGCCAGGCGGGAGGCGCTGGGGCCTCTGGCCGCCGCCCCTCCCCCCCCCCGGGGGCCGGGGCGGCGCACGACGCCCCCCGCTTTGGCGCGCGGCGCGGCTCGCGCCGCGACGGCTCCCGGCGTGGGCTTCCGACGCCGCGTGGCGCTCGCTCGTCGGGGCTCGAGCGTCGGGGGCGGCAGAGATCGGAGGAGGAAAAACAGGCCTCGGAAAAAAATAGCGAACACTCATGCCACATTCATCTGTGAACGCCTCCCCCTCCCCCCAATGTTCAAAGTTGGCGGTGTGTCTGATGAGTTGCACCTCGACCGCAGTCTCCCCCGCGCGTGCCAACTTTGAGTCTGGGGGGCAGGGGGGGTGTTCACTGATTGTTTCCCTCTACCGAAGTACCCATACCTCTACCCTTCGGCAGTTTTTTCCCTTTGGTGGGCCTCCTCGGAGGCTCTCGTCGCCACCGCTGGATTCGCCTCGAGATTCTGGTCAGAACGCACACCAGGAGAGGTCCGGGGAGAGTAGCGGTATCGGTATCTTTTGGTTTCCCTAAAATGGGGGGTGATGACTAGGGGGGGTGGACATCATGGCGTGGGCCACGATAGTTCCTCAGCTCTCATGGTGCCCTTTCTTCTTTCATGAAGTTCCTGGCCCCCCCGCTGGGCCGCGCACATGCCGCTGGCCATGATTTGCGCCCCCCCCTCTTGGACGCCCCTTCTTGGCCGCCCCTGAGAGAGACGGGGGTCGGTGCAAACGGGGGTCAGCCAGGGCGTCGGATCTTGCAGGATCCTGCAGGGCCATTGGTGCACTGACCCGGGCTTGGGTGGACCCGGGTCAGAGTGTCCCCGACACCGCGCGGATCGTTCGGCGGAGGCGGTTCGCATCCGCCGAAAGATCCACGGAGGCGCAAGCGAGCGCGAGCGCAATTCGGACGCTCCGCTGCGGCTGTCGCGCAATAGGGCAACAACACTTTACTAAAAGGCTTGCTTCCGTTAGCAGATGGCTCCTTCAAAGTAATAGTGTGAGTTTTCGGCTTCCAAGCGAAATCCATACGGAGTGAGTCCACACGGAGTGCTCGGTTTCCGTGTGGACTTCCTCCGCCTGGACCTAGCCACCCGCTCCTGATCGGAGTCCTAAGCTCATGCGGCGTAGGTCCACATGGAGTGCTCGGTCTCCGTATGGAATACAGTCGGGTCCTTAATTGTTTCACAGCTTGCCTCAAGTTTTCCTTATGTTTTCGATGGGAAATCGAAGTTCAACTTATGGTAAAAAGGGGCATCGTTCCTTGTTTGGGGTTCCTTAGGTCAACGCCCCGACGGTAACTCCGCCTGGACCTAGCCTCTCCCGAGCCGTTCCACCGCTGAAGACTGGCGGTCTTCCGATCGCCCCATCGCTCCCTATTGGCCGATGCTGCGCCACGGGCGGCGACGGAGGCGTTTGCCGATCGCGCCAGGCCACGGGGCGCAGCCCGAGCGCTCTTGCCCGAGGCGCTGACCGCGCTCGCCGCGGGCAGAGTGCAGGCCGGGGCGCTGCGGCCCTCCTCCGTGGCCGGAGACGAGAAAAAACAGAAAGCGAGGGTCGAGGAGGATCGGTTCCGGATCGGTCCTCGAAACGACGACGAGTCGGGGCCCCTGGCGGCGTTCGGCTTGGAGCGCCCCTGGGCGGTGGCCGCGTCGACGCGGCCCGAACCTGCCGTGCACCCCTCCGCTCCTGGGCCAGCAGGTCCGCCTCGGGCCCGCTCCGCGGGGCCTGCGCGGCCATGCTCTTCGGCCCAAGGCGGCAGCGTCGGTGCAGCGTCGGTGCTGGCATGCGCAGTGGTGGTGGGCGCCGACGGGTTTCTGAGCGACGCGGCGGTCGCCCCCGGCCTGATTGCCGGTGCGGCAGACGCCGTCGAGCACATCGGGAGCATTCGCATGCACGAGCTGATCAGGAGATGACGGCTCTTGCAGCTACGAAGGCCACGTCGTGCCTTTCGACGAGCAGCCGCGCGTGACTGGACAGGCAGCCGATGATGTCCAGAACACGGTCCAAGTGGACCTAAAGACGGCCCGAGAAGGCTCCAACTTTGTCCTTGGATCTCCTGGGACGCCCCACGAGCGGCCCAAGCGTGCTCCCGAGAGGCTTCTAAGAAACGACAGTTATTTGTTCTCCCATGTGTGTTGCAGGTTTCGAATGATTTTGCAGCGTCTTGCAGCGGGCTCCCAAAGTCGTCCCAAGATGGTCCAAGAGGGCCCCGTGATAGCCCCCAGGGGCTGCGGAAGAGGTCCCTCGGGCAGCCCAAGAGGGCTGCGGGACAGCCCAAGAGGGCGCCAAGAGAGCTCCACATTTGAACCAAGAGGCTGCCAAGCTGGCCGCGAGGGGTCCCCGCCGGCACGAGAGGGCCCCAAGCCAGTCCAAGAGGGCCGCGAGATAAGCGCTGCCCCTGTCTGCACCAGAAGCAAAGCGCGCGCGAAACGCGCGCGTGGTTCCAGTATCGTGTGTGTATATATATATATATACACATCTACACATACGCATAAACATACACGTGCACATGCACATACACATACACATACACATACACATACACATACACAGACACAGACACAGACACAGGCACACATACATATAACATATACTATGGTACAATACTCCACTTAGGAGGGCGCCCGGCTCGTGCCAGCACGGCGCGCGGCTCTGAGGCTGTTTTCATCTCATGTCAGACACCCCACGTTTTTCAAGGGCGTCGTTTGCTCAGCTTATTTTGTACGCGAGGAAACGAGGCCACCCGGACGCCTACCTCTGTGCATGCAGAGACACTCCATTTGGTGCCTCGCGGCACGGTGATTCCAACCACATAATTGATGTTTAGTTTCATCCTTTTCAGTGAGAGCTTGAGGCCGTTCTTACCACCGTGACATCAATCGATGGAATGAAGGCGTTGCTGGGATGACTAGGAATTCAGGTAATGCAGCTTGGACGTGGACCGTCTATATCTTGCAGCGCGTTCGCTTGAGGGGGGTAGGTTGGAACCCGCCAGTTTTTGGATTGGCCTTTAAAGCATCCTGTAACGTCCAGAAACTGCTTGGTCTCCCCCGCTCGCAAACACAAGGACAAAGGCAGGAGTGGGGGCGTCCAATCCCTTCAGTTTCCCCTCTCCGCCGGCGAGCGGCGACGATGCCACGGGACGAGTAGAGCGGTGTCGTCGTCATCTTCGTCGTCGGTCGTCGTTGCTGCTGTCGTTGTCGTCATTTGCCGACGCGGGAGGCGGGGGGGTTGGACCCCTCCCCCTTCACGCGAGGGTGGGGGCGGGCAGGGGGGGAGGGGAGGTTCCGTTTGAGGGGGAGGGATGCGCCCTGGTTCGCCGGGTGCTCGAGGTGTTGGGAGGCGAGGCCCCCTTGATGCTCGACGTGCCGGGGAGTGGTCTTCGCCCGAGCGTCCGCGGAAGGCTCGGCGGCGTGCCTGGGGGGGGAAGCGAGAGGGGGCGGGCCTTGTCAGAAAGCTCGGAAGTTCCCCAGCCTTCCAAGAGATTTTCTCTAAGCCTTCCCCGAAGACACAGAGAACCTCTCAGAAGGCGCGAGGGCTTCTGAGAAGTCCCGCCGCCTTCCGAGAAGGCCTTCTCCTTATCGCTTCCCCCCGTCGTTCGTCGCCACAACTCACTCCTCTCTCGCATCTTCTGGGTAGGAGGAGGAGGAGGAGGAGGAGAAAGAGGAGGAGTAGGAGGAGGAGGAGGAGGAGGCGGAGGAGGAGGAGGAGGGGGAGGAACAGGAGGAGCTGGAGGAGCTGGAGGAGGAGGGGTACACCTTGCCGTCTTGGTACATGTCGTGCTTCTCATGGACGTATAACCGTTGCACGCCTCGCGCGGCCATCCATGCTCCTGACGTCTCGCGCTCCGGCGACTAACGTAAGGAGGGCTTGGGAGGAGGGGATAGGAGGAGGAGAGGAGGGAGGATGCGAAGAGGGAGCAGGAAGAGGAGCAGAGGGAGGAGAGGAGGAAGGAGACGAAGACGAAGGAGGAGGAGGAGGAGGAGGAGGAGGAGGAAGAGGAGGAGGAGGAGGAGGAGGAAGAGGAGGAGGCTCGTGGAACTCTGAACTCAGGGACCCGCGAGAAGGCTCTACCGCGCCTCCCCACCCGCGAAGGAGCCCAGCACGCCAGCTATGCGGACCATTCGCGTGGGGAACGTGCAGTCCAAGGAGAGCATCGAGAATGACCTGCTGAAGGCGCGGTGGTGCACGTGCACAGCAAGGTGGGAAGAGCGCGGATGAACCAGAGGAGGAGGAGGCGCGAGGAAGAGGAGGCGGAGGAGGCACGAGGAGGAGAACGACGAGGCGAGAGGAGGAAGGAGAAGGAGAGGGAGGGGGGCGGAGGAGGAGGCACGAGGAAGAGGCAATCCAGGGAAGGACGATCCTGCCTCTTCCTGTTCCCCCCTCTTCCTCCTACCTCACCCCTTCCCCCCTTCTTATCTCTCACTTCCTCTCCTTTGCTCCTTCCTAATTGCACCCCCTCCACCCTCCAAGAGGAAGGGAGGAGGAGGAGGAGGAGGAGAAGGAAGCGGAATGAGGAAGGAGGATGAGGAAGCGAAATGAGGAAGGAGGATCCTTGCTCTCCCTTCTCGTCTTCCTCGCCAGCCTCCTGCCTCCCCTTCTCATCCTCCTTCCCCGTCCCCTCTCCTCGCCCTCATCCCGCGCGCGCAGATAGAGGAGGGAAAGAAGAGAAGAGGAGGATAAGGAGCACGGGGAGGGATAATGATGTTTATGAGGGTGTGATGACGGCACGTGGGCGATGATGGACAATTGATGGTGATGCTGGTGATGACGATTCTGAGGAGGAGGAGGAGGAGGAGGAGGAGGAGGAAGTTGATGAGATGGATGATGCTGACGATTCTGACACTGTTGATGATCGTGGTGATGGTGGTGATGATGAATGTGATGGTATGCGGATGAAAATGATAGTGACGAGGAGGCTGCCCATGGAAACAACATGCTGTGTGACTGGTAAGGCGTGGGTGCACGCCATCGCGCTCTGCGTTCCGTCGGTGCGCTCTATACACGTGCATGCTGTTCTCGAGCTTGTCTTCAGCGCTTCAGAAGTACGCAGCACATGAGTGAGGCGTGCTGGCATTCAGGAGGGGAAAAACACACAGACACAATGAATCGTCGATTCCGGGGAAAATATGGGAACATCTTGGAAGCGGGGGGGAAGACGAAAACCAAGAACATTCGGACGAAAACCGAGAAAATATGGGAAAAGATGGGGAATCCTGGGACTTGTGTGCGTTTTAATGTGTGTGTCTTTGGACCCCTTCAGTCATGTGGAACTGGCGATCCGGCCGCGACGTGGGCTGCCAGAACATTATTAATCGCTTCGCTCATGCCGCTGGCCCTGGAGCCCTCTTTAGGGGAGGAGAGGGGAGTAGGGGAGGGTGCCTCTTGGGGATGGGTCCTCTTGGTGGGACCTTTCTCTTGTGAGTCTCTTGGGCTCCTTGGCGTGGTGGCGTTTTTTTTTTGGGGAGGAGGGGCCCCCAGGGCCTCTTGTGGGGGGCTCCTTGGGGGTAGTCCTATTGCGGGGCTTCCCCCCTTCGAGGCCACGATCCTCACAAAAAACAGAGGTGAAAGGGGTGTCAAATATAATTTTTTTTTATTAATTTTTATAAATACCCTCCCCTGGAGTGTGTCTGTTGGCGGGCTTTCCTCCCCGGGGTGGGGCTTTTTTCTTCCCAGCTTGCTCTTCTCGGGACCTCTCCCCTCCCTTCCCCTTGCCGCCGGGGTAACTAACTACTTTTTCGTCCAGGGGCCCCCAGGGGCCGCTCCGCGCGCGCGAACTAGAAATATTGTTAACAAGTTACCGGAGATCTTAGCACGCCTCTGGCCCGTTGGGCCGGCGAATTTTCGCAAACCGTTCCGCTCCGTTTGCCCAGTCCTCCCGCGCACACACTTGCACAGCGGTCGTCCGTCGGCCCAGAACATTTCCTCCCTGAGGCTTTCCTGGTTCAAGCCAATCAAATCAGGCAAGGCATGTGACAGATCTACGGCCAGCTTCCTGCGCTGATCTGATGTCGTTGCTTGCGGTGTTCATTGCGGGTGCTTATCTTTTGATATCATTTGTGAGTGCGGAAACTTCCAGGGAAGACGATGCCCTCATTCTGGCCGAAGGGAATTTCTCTGACGTTGTGAATGGCTCGACACGCCCAATTTTGATTCAGTTCTATGATCCGAGCTGTAAGTATTGCAAGAACTTAGCTCCTCACTACGCAGAAACATCACGCGTCCTGAGGAAAGCGCAGCCTTCAGTACGTGTTGCTAAAGTGAATGGCATTGCGGAGCCGGGTCTACGGCAACTGTATAAAGTGGTTGGCTTCCCTTCCATCATTTTAGTCATCGCGGGCAGAGGCCGTGAGTATCGAGGGGCTCATACCTCGCAAGCACTGGTTACATGGACCATGAAAGCAGTTGGCCCACTTGTCACCGAATTGGAGACTGCGGAAGACGCTGAGCAATTTGACAGGTATGAAATGACAGTGACCGGATTCTTCCGGGATGGCGAAGAAGACGCACCGCTGGAGGCCTTGAAGAAGGTTGCTCCTCGGCTAGATGATGTGCTCTTTGCTTACAGCTCCTCGCCAAGTGTGATCGCGAGGTGCGAGAGCGAAGGCCTGTCGGTGCCAGCGGTCAGAATGGCCTTCCCGCACGATGAGAGGTCGAGGACGTTTTCGGGTGACCTTCAGAATCCTTCGGAAATCTAGCTGCGCTGCCGCGCCTGTCCGCTGCGGCGCTGGGGCAACTGCGCCGCAACGCCATATAGCGTAGCACGGCCGAGGCGTTGCACAGTTGTCGCGAGGTTTCTTGAGGACCATTCTTAGGATGTGAGTGAAGGGCCTTTACCGGCCACGCGCAGAGGGGGGTGGGGGGAGGGGGGAGGGCTTCTTAGAAGCACCCCTGTCTTAAAGAAGGCGCGGGCCTTATCTATAGATGTGAGGCCGGCGCCTTCTAAGAAGCACCCCTCCTTCTCAGAAGCCCTCCCCCCTCCCTCCACCCCCTTGTGCGCGCCGCCAACTTTAGGGGCTCTGTTGGGGCCGTCCGGAGGGTCTGGGCGTCCTCTTGTTGGGGGTGCCTGTGGCCTTCGGGGGCCGCTTGGGAGTTCGACCCGAGAGCCACCTGATGGTTAATCGGATGCCATGCTAAATTTCCCCTTGGTGGCAAGGCAAACGCGTGAACCACAGCCTGTATTGCAAAGTCGGCATTCTGGGACTTCCCGCAGTCCTCTTCGGGCCTGAGTGCTCTGAAGGCATCCCCAGGTGCTCGTGTGCTTTCTATTGCTGTGATGCCACTGCGAGAAGCATGCGACAACTGTGGATGCCACACTCCAGGTGAGGCCAAGTGATCAAGCCTGGCATTCAACGCCAATAAACACCAAGGCTTGGCGCTCGAAACGCATGTATTTTGAAGGGTGCGGGGCCTCATTGGAGCGGCAAGGGGTTAGGAGCACACATGTTCCGCTGAAAACACACCTGCGGAT